GATGAAGCAGCTGGAGACTTTAGATCCAGAGAGGGAGAGCGACTGTGTGCTGAAGACCTGGAGGGTACAGGGGAAGGATTACATGGAGGGGATTGTAAGCATGGCAATGAGACAATATATGATAGAATGAATGTAAAACTAATGTTCTCCCATGTAAACTGTCATATAATTCATAATAAATCATTTGAGAAAAAAAAAATAAGGGGAAATATATTTTTCACTTTTAGATGTTGTCTTTGTTACCTGGAGCTAGTATAACAGAAATACCACAAATGGGTGACTTTAACAAACAAACTTATGTTTTCACAGGTGAGGAGCTAGATGTCTGAATTCAGGACACCAGCTTTAGGGGAAGGATTTCTACTTTAGGGGAACGTCCGGCCTAGTTTCATTAGATTCTGCTTCCAGGTTCCTTAGAGATCTCCACGTGGCTTGGTATCTATCTGCCCTCCCCCTGTTCTGCTTAATCCTCTCCTTTTATATCTTGTAATTGATTGGTTCAAGGACACATTATACAAACCATATCCCATTAATATAACAAAGACAACCCTTTCCCAAATGGGATTATAACCACAGGTATAGAGGTTTGGATTTACAACACATATTCTGTGGGGGACACAATTCAATCCGTAACAGGTGTATGTCTTCCAAATGTAACTAGGGAAGGAAGGGTAGACCTTGGCTGCATATGGAGAGGGGAGCTAGGTGGCTGCAGAAGGTGGGGAACTTCACTGTAATTCTGCATACTTTTTGTATTTTGAACCATTGGAATGTATTAATATTACATTAAACTGGAAAAACCTGACTTTGAAAGACAAAGTAGAGTTCTATCATAAGCCATAGAATAGGGTAGTGGAGATGATAGATAGGTATAAAGATAGCTCCGTTCTACCAAGGAAAGTAATACAAACTCCTTCTGGAATGGAGGGTGGAGCCTAGAGAGAAAAAAAGAGAGAGAAGAAAGTTAAGTGCCTATTCTCACTGCTCCCAGGTTTGAAACTCAGAAAGTGGAGTTGCATTCAAAATATTTCCAGATAGATATCACAATCTAAAGACAAAAAGAACTTAAGCTAAGCATTTGGCCCTATGCTCACCTAGGCATTGCCATCATTGAGTAGAGACGGCAGCATGGATTTATCAGTCAGAAATTGAACATGACCCCCACCCTCCACCACCAACACTGCCATCATCACTCTGAGATATGAGACTGGAGACTTCTCTGGGGGAAACTTGCCAACTCAGAAGAAAAGACTAGATTGAAAGGGTCTAAAGTGAAGACCCTTAAAATAGTTACTGATCAAAAAGCACAGCCTTCGGTGTGGATTCCATCTCAGTGTAAAGAAAATAAAAATCCTCACCACTGGACCAATAAACAACATTCTTATTGATGGAGAAAAGATTGAAGTTGCCAAGGACTTCATTCTTCTTGGATCAACTATCA